GAGAGGACCGGGGCGGCCTTCTGCGAAGGCCTGTTCCGCCTCCCTCGCTCGCCGCCGATTGTTGTCGCAACGGAGCGAATCGGGGCTCGCGTCCCGAGGCCGCCGTGGGAGGCGGGTGGCCAAACGGGACCCGGCGGGCGGCGGGAGGAGCGCCGCGGAGGGCGGGAGGAGCACGGTCGGGGCACCGTCTTGACGAGAGCAGGAGCATCAGAGTGAGGGGACCGAGCGGTCATTCGCGGCCAATGGGTTCGTGGCTGCGAGCAGGAGCATCAGAGTGAGGGGACCGAGCGGTCACTCGCGGCCCCTGGGTCCGTGGCTGCAAAGGGCTTCCGCGGTACGGAGTGTTGTTGTTGTTGTTGTTGTTGTTGTTGTTGTTGTTGTTGTTGTTGCTGGTGATGCTGTTGCTGTTGCTGCTGGTATTGTTGTTGTTGCAAGTGGTGCTGGTGCTGGTGCTGGTGTTGTTGCTGTTGGTGATGTTGTTCATGGTGTTGCTGCTGACGTTGTTGTTGCTGTGTGTTGTTCTTAGTGCTCTTGTTGGTGTGGCTGTTGTTGTTGTTGTTGTTGTTGTTGCTGGTGTTGCTGTTGTTGTGTCTGTTGGTGTTGTTGCTGTTGTTGGCGCTGGTGGTTTCGTTGTTGTTGTTGTCGTCGTCGTCGTTATTGTTGTCGGTCTCGTGTTTGTTGTTGTTGGTGTTGTTGCTGTCGTTGGTAATGCCGTTGTTGTTGGTGTTGTTGCTGATGGTGTTAGTGTTGTTTCTTTGTTGTTATCTGTTGTTGTGTGGTGATTGTTGTTTGCTGCCGTCGTCCCGCCCACCACCCAGCCCGCGACCCACCCGCGACCCACCAACAACCTACCCGCGACCCACCCCGTGACCCGCCTGCGACTCGCCAGCGACCCCCCCGCGACCCACCCCGTGCCCGCCCCCTCACTCTTTTCCGCAACTGCGGGGTGCTACGTACCCAGAGCGGATCCACCATTCCTCCGACCGTGCAATGCACCGAGTGCAACGGCCGCGTTGTCCATGGTTTGGCACAGGCTCCAGATACTGGTCTTCAGGAAGCAGGCAGACTTGGCCCTCCTAAGTAACATTTCCTGCTGCACCTCCAGACCCCTCTCCTCAGACTCGTCTGCGTAGGAAGAGGGCCAACCATAGTAACCGGATCACGGTGGCAATACTGGCTCGACTCTGCCCAGGCCTTGAAGCTGGGCGGGGGCCAAGGTCAGCGCGGAGTGCACGGTGCATCCAAGGCGCTCAAAGAGGACGAAGTGCCTACTGTGGCGGCGGCGCCCGTCGGCCGGTGGCGTTCCAGAGGGCCATCTCCTGACGCGCCTGGGGGTCAGGGTCAGCCTGTGGCCCTGGATCGGCCGCGATCACTGCTGCTCCGCTGTTCCTCGTTTCCTCCTCCTTCTCCGTCCTCCCCAATCCTCCCCTCCTCCTCTCCTCGCTGCCACTTCGCTCTCACGCGGAGCGCGGTCCTACCCAGATCCAAACCAGAACTCCCCTCCCTGGGTGGTCTCAGGCGCGCAATCGTCGCCTCGTCTGTGAGCTTGTGTGGGGTCCAGCGGAAGGCGACCCTACCCTTAGGTCGGGCACGTCCTCCTACAGGCGGGTTTTGAACGAAAACTAAAACATACATAGTCAAAACACGATCCCAGTGCGACCCTACCTAGGAGTTGGAGCCCCTAGGAAAGCAGCATTCGTAGTAACAGTAAAGCTAAGCTAAAGCTAAGCTAAAGCTAAGCTGAAGCTAAGATGAAGCTACGCCCAAGCTAAGCTAAAGCTAAGCTAAAGCTCAGCTAAAGCTAAGCTAAAGCTAAGCTACAGCTAAGCTAAAGCTAAGACAAAGCTAAGCTAAAGCTAAGCTAAAGCTAAACTAAAGCTAAGTTAACGCTAAATCTAAAGCTGAGCTCAAGCTAAGCTAAAGCTAAGCTAAAGCTAAAGCTAAGCTACAGCTAAGCCAAATCTAAGCTAAAGCTAAGCTAAAGCTGAGCTAACGCTAAGCTAAAGCTAAGCTAAAGCTAAGCTAAAGCTAAGCTAAAGCTAAGCTAAAGCTATGCTGAAGCTGAGCTGAAACTAAGCTGAAGCTAAGCTGAAGCTGAGCTAAAGCTAAGCTAAAGCTAAGCTAAAGCTAAGCTAAAACTAAAGCTAAAGCTAAACCTCCCAGGGGACTGGGGGAACCGCGGGGCGGGGACTGGGGGAACCGCCCGGGGCGTGTTCCACTGCCCGGCCCCTTTAAGCTAAGAGAGTAAGAATCCTCTAGGCAGAGCCTGGGTAGGGAATAATCCAAACAATCGTCCTCAGACTATCGTTGAACTCTGCTTCAATACTCCCCCTGGAGAGAGACACCCCCGATTTCCCCCTACCCAGATCCTGGCCGGGCCTCCCCTTCCTTCGTCGTGGCACCAGGCGTGACACGGTCGGCACTCTCTGGAGCGCGGGGGAGGCCGGCGCAGTCCTCGCCAGATCCGAGCCCACAGCTCGCCTCCCCGAGCGCTGCCAGACGAGCGCGACTTGTCGCCCCTCCTCCTCCTCCTCCTCCTCCTCCTCCTCCTCCTCCTCCGCCTCCTCATCCCCGATCCTGGACCCCGATCCTGGATGCTCGATCCCCTCGTGCGCGGGGTGCCCCTCTCCCTGGTCCTCTCGGGCCGGGCCTCCCGTGGGAGGCTCCAGCGCAAGGCGGTCCTACGTGCCAGCTCCCACTCAGCCCTTGCCTGTGTGTTACCAGTCGATCCAGCGGGGGGCGGTCCTCCCCAGACCCAAACCAGAACTCCCGCCGCCTGGGTGTCGCCAACTGCGCAACAATTGTCAACTGCGCGAGGCTGTGCGGGGTCCAGCGGAGTGCAGTCTTGGTTGTAACCAGATTCGCGGTGGACCTCACCTCCCTGGCCGGTGCTAAGCGCGCAACTGTTGAAGGCGTTATCCAGACCCAAGCTAGACCTTGCATCCCAAAATACTGCCACGCGCGCAATTGCCGCCGCTTCCATGTGTTCGTGATGAGCTGAGCGCCAGGAATGTACCGTCCGACATACTTCCAAATGTACCAGGAAACGTTTCCTTCATTAGTTTCGTCGCCCAGCATTGGTCCCACTGGACGTGCAATGAATATGTTCCCGATGTAGTTTTCGAAGAGGACGGCACACCCTTATACATAATAAATCACATTAGATGTCCAACGTTGGATTGCCATACGTCATAAACTGGTTGGGTACGCCCTAAACAAATTCAAAGCTGTACCCCACTATAGGCAGGCGAACATCTCACAAGCCCTCTACGCGGAGGAAGTTTGCGCGCTTCATCTTCAATTTCCGACCGAAATAGTCCATGCGGACCTCCGACAAGTTGAATGGTGTTGAACGCTTATTCAACTTTTTCTTTTCGACACCAACCTCCTCCTCCTCCTGCTCCTCGCCCTCGCCCTCCCCTGCCCCCAAGTCGGGCAGGCAAGACCAAAATAACTCACTCTAGAGCGCTCTGGAACGCTCTCCGGAGCTCTCCAGAGCGCTCTGGAACGGCCGCGACGCCCGACACATTCTCCAAAATCGCTGGACGTCAGATCTCCGATTTGTCCAAGAGAGCCTGGAATCGGATCGATGAGTCGGATCGGCGATCGACATGAATCTGATCGGCGGAAACCTGCCGCCGAGTTGAAAATTATCCCAGTGCGACCCTACCTAGGAGTTGGAGCCCCTAGGAAAGCAGCATTAGTAACTGTAAATCTGAGCTAAAGCTAAGCTAAAGCTAAGCTAAAGCTAAGCTAAAGTTAAGCTAAAGCTAAGCTAAAGCTAAGCTAACGCCAAAGCCAAGCTAAAGCTGAGCTAAAGCTAAGCGAAAGCTAAGCTGAAGCTAAGCCAAAGCTAAGCTGACGCTAAGTTAAAGCTAAGCTAAAGCTAAGCTAAAGCTAAGCTAAAGCTAAGCTGACGCTAAGCTAAAGCTAAGCTAAAGCTAAGCTAAAGCTAAGCTACAGCTAAGTTGAAGCTAAGTTGAAGCTAAGCTAAAGCTACGCTAAAGCTAAGCTACTGTTAAGCCCAAGCTTAGCTAAAACTAAGCTAAAATAAGCCAAGCTAAGCTAAGCCGATATAATCTAAGCCAAGCTAAGGGGGCGCTATGCTAAGCTATGCTAAGCTATGCTATGCAATACTGTGCTATGTTATGCTATGCTGTGCTATGCTATGCCATTATATGCTATGCTACGCTAAGCTAAGCTACATTAGGCTAAGCTAAGCTAGGCTAAGCTAAGCTAAGCGAAGCTAAGGTAAGCCAAGCTAAGCTAAGCTAAGCCAAGCTAAGCTAAGCTAAGACGAGATAAGCTAAGCCAAGCTAAGGGGGCGCGACTGGGGGAACCGCGGGGCGGGGACTGGGGGAACCGCCCGGGGCGCTTTCCACTGCCAGGCCCCTTTAAGCTAAGAGAGTAAGAACCCTCTAGGCATAGCCTAGGTAGGGAAAAATCGAATCGAGATCAAAACCCACATTGGAATCCCAAGTCGAATCGAATCGGAATCGGAATCAATCGAAATCGAACCGAACCGAATCGAATCGAATCGAATCGGGGGAATCGACATGAGCCCTGTTTGGCCTGCTTCGATTGTGTCCCGGTCCTGGCCTTCGGTCGGGCATGCCCTCCTACAGGCGGATTTTGGACGAAAGACGAAACAGACCCGAAACATGTTCAAAAATAGTTTAAAAAATATCGTCCCCAGACTATTTTTTGACTATCTGGGAATACTCCTCCTTCGGGGATGGACAGACCCCCCTTTAGTAAAACGTGGTTTAGTGAAAACGACCTGAGGCCCAAACCTGGCGGGCGCAGGCCTGGACAATAACGGCCACGGCGCCCTCTCGAGAGCCGAGAACGGACAATTCACTAATCGACGTGTCACTCACTGTTGGGCGTTCTGTCCACCCCCGACTCCTGTAGAGGGACGTGCGCGACTTCATCCTGGCCTCGTCTTGCGCCACGGGGGGGCCCCCCCCCCGCGCCCCGCACGCCCCGCGGCCCCCCGCCTGCCGCACGTACTCGCGCAGGCGGAGGCCCAGGGCGGTGGCGCGGCCGTAGCGGCTCCGGAAGTGGAGCATGGCCATCGCCGCGCTGGCGGTCACCTGAGCAGCAGAGAGAGCGGGGTCTCACCATAGAAGTCCTCGCGCCTTCTGAACATGTTTCGTCTGTCTTCGGGGAAGGCTCAGGAAACTTCTCAGACGGCCGGGGGACTTCTGAGACGTCCCTGGCGGACCCCTGGCCATCGCTCGGACGTCCATTCCCTGTGTTTTTGTTGGTTTCGTGCGTGGTTTTCTCGCCAAGTGAGCAAGGATGCTCCTCGAGGGTTCTCGCCGAGAAAAAAATGCACACGTCCGAGCGATGCCAGGAGAAAGAGCGGGGTCTGACCATAGAAAAGAAGCAACAAACGCCATAGACATAAACTTTTGGCGCGCCGCGCGGCCTTACCTCGGGGGCGGGCAAACATGGCTTAGCGATCCAGGGATTTGGCGCGCGGTCACCAAATCCACCGATCGGGGGAGGTGCCCTCCCCAAAGTGCGGCCGGTGCCGCCTCGTTCGGCGGCGGAAGTCCGCGATGTCCCATGGAAACGGGACCCGTCGCTAATCCACGCCCCCTTGATCCATGCTTGCGACCGCCCGAGAAAGAACGGTGTCTTACCAATCGCTCCGACGATCTGTGTGTTCTTTTCAGTCCGGGCGGTGCTCGTCGAGCGCAAGGCCTCCTTCGGGGAGGGGGTCGGGAACTCTGGGGCCGCGGATGGGGGAATCATCACACCGGAGGATGCCTGGGTCATATATTAAAGGGAAATTAGGACACACAAATAAATACACACAAATAAAAATAGTCCCCATATTTTCCCATATTTTCTGGGTTTTTGTCTTCCCCCCCAATTCCCATATTTTCCCATATTTTCCTGGGGATCGACGATTAATTGTGTCTGTGTGCTTTTTCCCCTCCTGATATATGCAATGACACGTGAGCGACGATAAAAAATGGGGGTCTTGCGCGAGATGGCGCAGCGAACTTGCGCGGCGGCTTAGGCGGGCCGCCCGCGCGGCACGCCACCGTGGAGACGAGGGCGCTCACGCGCGACCTTACGCGGGCGCCTTGCTTGCCAATGTCGGCGCAGACGACCCTGTTTATTTTTTTCCGTGGCTCACGTGGGGGCGGACGAAAGGTGAGGGATAACCGCGAGTGGGAAAACTAATCGGCTACATACAGCCAGCTTTTCTGGCGCATCCCGGCGCTGGAGGCGGCCATGCATCAAGGCGTTTGCCAAGCGGCGGGGACAGGGCCATCTGCATGCATCGAGTGGGAGATCGACTATTGAATTGATGTGCACCAAACTTGCAAGTGCCGTCGACTCTACGATTACATGCGCAAGTCTGTTCGTAGATCTGTGATCGTTCTGCGTCTCCGGCACAAACTGGACGAAAGACGATTCTGGGGCACATCGACCGTGTAGTAGATCTCCCACTCGGATGTAGCATACTTCCCCTGCCCCACGCACCTCGTTGCGTCCGCCCCGACGCATGGAGAAGAGGGCGCTCACGCGGAAATCCTCCCGTGGGCAGCCTGCACGCCAGCTGGGGTCCGCGGGGCCGGCCCCGTGTTCCCACGCCGCTCGCCTCCCACTGCACGCCGTTGCCCGACGTGGTGAACCTGGAAGGAGAATCGGCGGTGGACAGACCTCCCTTTCGTAAACCTCCCCTTAGTGAAAACGGCCTGGGACCGAAACCGACGGACCTGGAATCGCAAAAATAACGGCCGCGACGCCCTCTCGCGAACCGAAAACGGCCAAGTCCTTAATCGACGTGTCAGGGTAGGAGGTCTGTCCACCCACGAGAGAAAGAGCCGTGGTCGCCCGAAATGGGTACGGGGAAAATGGATGCGATGCCAACCAGCCAATGTTGCCCAGCACAGATCTGGCCATCGCTCGGACGTCCACTCCCTGTGTTTTTTTTGGTTTCGTGCGTGTTTTTTTCGCCAAGGAATCAAGGATGCTCCTCGATGGTCCTCGCTGAAAGAAAAATGCACACGTCCGAGCGATGCCAATAGATAGCGGCCGCTGTTGGACCACGGCCGCGGCGGCACCCATAGCGAGCCCTGTACGGAAAGGACAGGGGGCTGCTGCCGCTCCTCGAAACCACTCTCTTCCCAAGTACGTACCCATTCCGTGGGGAAACCAAAAAAAATCCAAAAGTACCGATACCGCTTCGGAGCTCTCCCGGAGTGCGTCCTGACCAGGATTTCGGGGCGAATCCGGCGGTGGCAACGAGGCCTCCGGGGAGGCCCAGAAAGCGGAACACAGGCGAGGGGTAGAGGTGTGGGGACCCTGTCCTCCTCCGACGTACGCACCCATCTCGAGCGCACCGGATAGCGGCACGAGCATAAGCTCTCGGAGGGCAGCGCAGACCTCTTGGGCCGGAGCCGGGCCTGACTGCCCACCAGACCACCCCAACCCGATCCGAAGACCCGACCTTGTCCCGGCTTTCGGGTTGGGGGGATACGGGTTCCAGAAGAGCTTGTTCAATGTTACCCGACCCCCCCCCCACTGGAAATGGATGGCAAATTGAGACCTTCGGGTTGGGTTGGGGTGGTTTGGTTCAAGGGGCCATGGGGCCCACAAATAAATAGACACACGTAACAGGACGCCCCTATATTTACCCATATCTTCTGCGTTTTTGTCTTCCCCCCCACTTCCCATATTTTCCACATATTTTCGGGGGAATTGACGATTATTTGTGTCTGTGTGTTTTTGTTTCCCTCCTGATTGGTGGGTGGTGGGTACCCCCCTGGCGGCGCCCCTGGAGCGCCGCCCTTCTTCCAGCTCCAGGCGAGGAAGTCCAGCACTGGACCCTCGAGGATTCGCGCGGGCCTGCGACAGGCAGCTGCTAGTGCAATGCTTTCTCTCTCCTCCTCCTCCTCCTCGTCCTCCTCCTCGTCCTCCTCCTCCTCCTCCTCCTCCTCCTCCTCCCTCCTCCTCCCTCCTCCTCTCCTCCTCCTCCTCCCCACCTCCTCCTCCTCCTCCTCCTCCTTCTCCTCCTCCTCCTCCCTCCTCCGCCTCCGCCTCCGCCTCCGCCTCCGCCTCCTCCTCCTCCGCCTCCGCATCCTCCTCCTCCGCCTCCTCCGCCGCCTCTTCCTCCTCCTCCTCCTCCTCCTCCTCCTCCTCCTCCTCTCCTCCTCCTTCCTCCTCCTCCTCCCCTCCTCCTCCTCCTCCTCCTCCTCCTCCTCCTCCTCCTCCTCCTCCTCCTCCTCCTCCTCCTCCTCTCCTCCTCCTCTTCCTCCTCCTCCTCCTCCTCCTCCTCCTCCTCCTCCTCCTCCTCCTCCTCCTCCTCCTCCTCCTCCTCCTCCTCCTCCCTCCTCCTCCTCCTCCTCCTCCTCTCCTCCTCCTCTCCTCCTCCTCCTCCTCCTCCTCCTCCTCCCTCCTCCCTCCTCCTCCTCCGCCTCCCCTCCTCCCTCCTCCTCCCTCCTCCTCCTGCTCCTCCTCCTCTCCTCCTCCTCTCCTCCTCCTCGTCCTCCTCCTCGTCCTCCTCCTCCTCCTCCTCCTCCTCCTCCTTCTCGTCCTCCTCCTCCGACAACGTGCGCGTCGAGCAGGTCAACGTGTTCTTCGGCGTCTCAACATTGGGCTGAATGGGGGGGGGAGGGGGGGTCTGGCTCCGGACCTCTGCTTAGTGCGACTGCTTGCAGCAGTGTCCACTATGGGAGAGACTGCATCTGCTCGAAACAGGCGCCAAAAACAGCAAAGATCCACTCCATGGGGGAGGGGGGAGGCGAGGTTTTGGCGCCCGCGCCGATCGGCAAAACAATGAATAAAAAACGAGCACTAGGGGACCGACTACAGAATCAAAGTATCCCTCAATTAATCCGAGTTTCTAAATAAGCGTCGGGGGGGCGTCACCCCCGCCGACAGCTCCACATCGACCCCCGTCGCGGGCAGCCACCGCGCGCCGAAGGCGCTCCGACCCCCGTCGCGGCGCGACGACGAGGCGAGGTTGACCCCCGTCGGGGGGGTACCCCTCCACGCTTAAGAAATCCAGAATACTGTCCCGTCGAATCCAAAGATCATAACCACAGTGCTCCATAGATCAACGGACTAATTATTATACGTGTCTCTCATGGGTTCGACGAGAAAACCAAGTGTGGGGTAAACGAATTCTGTGGTCGATCCCCTACTCAAAAATAGAATCTAAGAGGGACTTCTCTGCCCACCTTGACCCAGCCTTCCGCGCCATATCCGAGACCATCCGGAGGATATCCGAGGCCACCCCGAATGATTCCGACGCTACCTGGTCACCGAGGAATGCCGCAAGAGTCGGGAGAGATGCCCCCCCCCCAAGATTCTGCGCACCTTCTGCAATTTGTTTTACTGGTTGCGTGATAGCCGGCCCTCAACGCAACAAAATCATGCCTGCCTATGTCGGACATACGTCGACCGCTCTCTTTCGCGTCGCGTCTACACCGCAGAGCGAGCAGAGGGTGGGGCTGGGAATGGGCATGCCGCACCTTGACACAAATGTTGATCCGATGTGTGGCCGCCGCGATCGCCGCGACGACCGCCCAAACCGACCCCGAGGCTTGCTTCTGGGAGAGACATCACGTAGCGAATATATATATATATATATATATATATATATACCATATATGCTCGCCCCCCCCACATGATCATACACATGCTCCCTTGATCCCTCCAGTCGTTCATCCCCCTTCCTCCTCCTGCTCTTCTTGATTATGTTGTGCTACGTTGTCAGACGCAACCCAGTCGATTGCATTCCAAGCGCTTGCGGCTTCAATCGTTGGCAACGCATTACAATCCAATCGGCTGCGTTGCAGTTGATCATTAAGAATCGTTTTATCGAGGTTCTTCTCCCTCCCCCTCCTCCTCCTCCTCCTGATCCTCCTCATCCGCCTCATATTCCTCCTTCTCTTCCTTCTCATCCACCTAAGTCTCCTTCTGTGAAGGGTTTCAACGCGAATCCTTCTGTTGATAATTTCAATAGGAATCAGTACATGGCGAATTGTGTTGTAGCGGGAGGTCCCTCGCAAAACTAGTTGTGCAGCTGCGTTCACAACTAGATTTGTGAGTATCGCCTCGAAGCGGAGAGAAGGGGGCACAATGACGAGGAGCAGGAGGAGCAAGAGCAGGAGGAGGAAGAAGAGGAGGGTGAGGAGCATGACGATGACGAGGAGGAACTCATTACTCACAAAACTAGTTGTTGAACGCCGTTCACAACTAGTTTTGCGAGTAGTGTCTTGTAGCGGGAGGTTCCTCGCAAAACTAGTTGTGCAGCTGAGTTCACAGCTAGAGTTGTGAGTATCGCCTCGAAGCGGAGAGGAGGGGGCACAATGACGAGGAGCAGGAGGATCAGGAGAAGGAAGAAGAGGAGGGTGAGCAGCACGACGATGACGAGGAGGAACTCAATACTTACAAAACTAGTTGTGGAGCGTCGTTCGCAATTAGTTTTGCGAGTAGTGTCTTGTAGCGGGAGGTTCCTCGCAAGACTACTTGTGCAGCTGCGTTCACAACTAGATTTGTGAGTATCGCCTCGAAGCGGAGAGCAGGGGGCACAATGACGAGGAGCAGGAGGAGCAGGAGGAGCAGGGGAAGGAAGAAGAGGAGGGTGAGCAGCATGACGATGACGAGGAGGAACTCATTACTCACAAAACTAGTTGTGGAGCGCCGTTGACGATTAGTTCTGCGAGTAGTGATTCGTAGCGGGAGGTTCCTCGCAAGAGTACTTGTGCCTTTCCGTTCACAACTAGATTTGTGCGTATCGCCTCAAAGCGGAGAGAAGGAGGCACAATGACGAGGAGCAGGAGGAGCAGGAGCAGGAGAAGGAAGAAGAGGAAGGTGAGCAGAGGGGGGGGGGCAGAATGACGAGCAGGAGGAGCAGGAGGGCAGAAGAGCAGGAGGAGCAGGAGGAGGAAGAAGAGGAGAGTGCGGAGCATGACGATGATGAGGAGGAGCTCATTACTCACAAAACTAGTTGTGGAACGCCGTTGACAACTAGTTCTGCTGACGAGGAGCAGGCCCCTCGCCCGTCTCTTCTTCTTCCTCCTGCTCCTCCTGCTCCTCGTCATTGTGCCCCCTCCTCTCCGCTTCGAGGCGATACTCACAGCTCTAGTTGTGAACTCAGCTGCACAACTAGTTGTGCGAGGAACCTCCAGCTACAAGACACTACTCGCAAAACTAGTTGTGAACGGCGTTCCACAACTAGTTTTGTGAGTAACGAGTTCCTCCTCGTCATCGTCATGCTCCTCACCCTCTTCTTCTTCCTCGTCCTGCTCCTCCTCCTGCTCCTCGTCATTGTGCCCCATTCTCTCCGCTTCGAGGCGATACTCGCAAATCTAGTTGTGAACGCAGCTGCACATCTAGGAGGAGCAGGAGGGCAGAGGAGCAGGATCAGGTTCCTCGCAGATTTCACAACTAGATATGTATGTATGTATATATATACATATATATATATATATATGTATATATATATATATATCAATGTGAACGGGCCGAACGGTCATTCATTGCCCCTGGGTGCGAGGCTGAAGTGGGAGTCCGCGGTGCGGACTCATGTTGTCGTTGTTTGTTGCTGTTTGTTGTTGTTGTGTGTTGTCGTCGTCCCACCCGCAACCCGCCCCGCGACCCACCCGCGACCCACCCCGCGACCCACGCCGCGACCCACCCGCGACCCACCCCGCGACCCACCCCGCGACCCACCCCGCGACCCACCCCGCGACCCACCCCGACCCGACCCACCCGCGACCCACCCGCGACCCACCCCGCGACCCACCCCGCGACCCACCCCGCGACCCACCCGCGACCCACCCGCGACCCACCCCGCGACCCCCCGCGGCCCACCCCGCGACCCACCCGCGACCCACCCGCGACCCACTCGCGACCCACCTGCGACCCACCCGCGACCCACCCCGCGACCCGCTCCCGACCCACTTTTGACCCAAACCAAGTTCAAGGTACAAACCACAATTTTCGGCGCCTGCGGCGGGTTTTTTTTTTTCTCATTTCTTCCAAGTGAAAAACCCGCGACCCACCCCGCGACCAACTCGAGACCAACCCGCGACCCAGACCACGTTCAGGGTACAAACCACATGTTTCGGCGCCTGCGGCGGGCATCTCCTGCATTCGTTTCAGGTGGAGAGCTGGCGCCCCACCCGCGACCACGCTCAGGGTACAAACCAAAAGTTTCGGCGACTGCGACGGGCATCTTTTGCAGTCGTTCCCGGTGGAGAACCCGCGGCCCACCCGCGACCCAAACCACATCACTGTACAGACCAATGTGTTCGGCGCCTGCGGCGGGCTGCTGTTGCATTCCTTCCAGGTGGAGGTGGAGAGCCCGCGACCCACCCGCGACCCAAACCGCGTTCACTGAACAAACCAATGCCGCACAAGCGCGGCGGCGGATTTTTGCATGCCGTCTGAGCCCGCAACGACCTCTTCAAGCCCCGCGCATCCACACCAGCCCGTCCAGCAACTTTGTCATGGCGAGTTGCCTTGATCAGAGAAGTCGGGGAGCATAACGTGGAAAAAAGTACTGCGCTGCCTTTATCTTTGGGAAGGAGGGGGAGGCAGGAAAAGTAAACAGGGGACGGGGAGGACGCGGAAGAAGAGAGGATGTAATGATAATGTGGAGAAAAAACAGGAGGAGGAGGAGCAGGAGGACGAGGAGGACGAGGAGGGGGAGGAGGGGGAGGAGGAGGACGAGGAGAGGGAGGAGGGGGAGGAGGGGGAGGAGGATGATGATGATGGACGACAATGGGAGGACGATGATGGAGGCCGATGAGGGTGAGGACGACACTGGGAGGACGATGATGGAAGGACGAGGGAGGGAGAGGGAGGACGAGGAAGAAGAGGAGGAGGACGAGGTGGAGGAGGAGGATGACGATGACGATGAGGACGAGGACGAGGACGGGGAAGAGGAGGAGGAGGAGGAGGAGAAGGAGGAGGAGGAGGAGGAGGGCCATCGACAAGGAAGGTGGGGGCCACGAGGTCCGCCGGCTCGACGACGCCCGCGTCGCCCGCGCCCGCCCCCTCACTCTTCTCCGCAATTGCGGGGTGCTACGTATATTCTCCAAGACCTCGAGGGGTCCGATTAGATGGGGTCGGGCGATCACGCAACATCGGCAATACACCGCCGATACATCGCCGATGCATCGGCGATGCAACGCCGACGTCGGCCACGCATTGGCGACGTTGGCCTGGACACAAACGGGCTCCGCATCGAGCCGCATCGCCGATGTATCAGCGATGCGGCGCGATCCTCCCATTATGATGTTATAAACTATTTTAGTCTCGATCACGAAAAATAATTTCGAGCACCAGAGAAATACCAAAATTGGCGGTTTTCTCGTGTCGGGCCCTTCGCTAGCATGTCGGGCAGACACTGTTTCGATACTTTTCTGGGTGCTCGAGATAATTTCTGGGATGTGGCCCTCAAGCACGATGGGAACAACATCATCCTCCGACCCCCATCTACTCCGACCTCTTCTGGGAGGCCCAGAAGAGACGCCGTGAGGTGGGCCGCTCGGTGAAACTGACGGGGCCCTGGGACACACAAACAAATACACACAAATAACAGGTTTCCCCATATGTTCCTACATTTTCTGTGTGTTCGTTTTCTTCCCCCCCACTTCCCATATTTTCCCATACGCTCGGGGGATCGACGATCAATTGCGTCTGTGTTCTTTTCCCATCCCGAGAAACAGGGGGGGGCGGGACGAGGAGACCAGCGCCCCGCAAGCCGCAGGGGGGCCGGCTGTGACCTGGCCATCGCTCGGACGTCCCTTTCCTGTGCACTTTTTCGGCCTCGTGCGTGGCTTTTTCGCCAAGTGATCAAGGATGCTCCTCGATGGTCCTCGCCGAGGAAAAAACGCACACGTCCGAGCGATGCCAAGTGACGGCGGCGGCTCCTCCCGCCCGGGCCCCGCGGTCCGCCCCAGGGCCCGGGCCCCAGGCTCTCGAGGCGGATCTGGCCGCGGCGGCGACAGACGAGAGTTCGCAAAGTCGCCACTCGCAAACGGCCTGGGTCCGCCGCGAGGGATCTACGATCAATTACGTCGAAGCAGGCATGTGGTCTGCGGACGCTTGCGAGTGGGCACTTGGCGCATCGTGGAACGCCAGTCGGTGAGGCGAGGATGACGAACCAACAACACACACCCATACCCATAGGGGGGTCGGAAAGGGCTATGGGTGCGTATTGTCGGATGGGGGTCCCCGCTCGAACGGGAGCGTTCCCTAGGGTCCGACAACCCGCACCCATACCCATAGCCAGTCCTCCTCCCAACGACCCCCTTATGGGTATGGGTGTGTGTTGTTCGTTCGTCAGAGGAGGCCTCCAGGACCCGGAGGAAGACTTGTTCTGCTCCCAGAGCCGAGTGCCCTGCATCTCCTGGCCGGGGTGCAGGGGGTCGACGTCGGAGGTCCACATGCCCTGCCAGGACGCCGGGTCGCTGAGGTTCGTGGCCGCGGGCGTCTGGATCGTGAACTCCAGGGCGGCGGTCATGCGCTCGCCAGGTGTTGCTGGAAGTGGCCACGGAGCCCAGATTCAGCAGGGAATCAAACGTCCTGGCGTACCTGCAGGCCTGGCGCGGAATCCTCTTCCTAGAACCATATATATATACCGACATATACATAGATGCATATGTTCAAACATAGATGTATATAAACTGCGGCAGCGCTATCATAACACAGCATGTGTGTGTTGAGCTGCATCAGCCAGAAATTCTCCGAGAGCATGTCGTGCAAGCCGCAGCATTTGCTTCGAGGAGTAATGTCGTGGGCCTGCAAGCAAGTCAGGACGCTTCGCCACTGCTCGACCGACCGGGGCCTCTTCTAGCAACACCTGAACTCAACGTCGGGGTCCGCGTCCGCCAGTAGGTTCCAGTACGTGCAATCTGCCGGGACGGGCACCCCCTCCGGCTGCGAGCTGTCGCAGTCCCCGTCGCCGCCCGTGCCCATCGAGTAGGCGCGCGGGAACGCCCTGTTGCGGCCGTGCATGCTTCTCACGAAGCCGTGGGCATCCTGCCAGACCTACAGGGCCACAAAAGACCAGAAACCTGGGTCGGGCATGTCTTCCCACAGGCAGATTTTGGAAGAGAAACGCAGTACAAAAACAATCGGGAAATCGTCCCCAGACTATGTTGGTACTAGTTTTGAATCTTCCTCCTGAACAAGGACATGCCCGACACCACCATAAACGTAAGCCTTGGGAGCTCCGCGTGGATGTCCTGGATCGCCGAAGGGCCCCCTCCCCAGCGCGTGGAGCGCGCCAGGGGGCGGTGCTGGAGGCGCCGTCCAGTGGGCACAGCGCCGATCCGAGAAACGGAGCTCCGAACTGCAATGACGCTCATGCAACTATTCCCAGCCGTCCTGTGATGTCAAGTCCTCGCTTTGGAGAGACAGCGCCCCGCGTCACTCCCGCTCCTCCTCCCCCCTCTCTCCCTCCTGCTGCTCCTGCCTCTACTCTCCGCCAATGTGCGCACACTCCTGACGCGTTTCGTGCCCCCACACGGAGCTCCACTCGAGGCCGTGGTGGTGAAGTCCACGTGCGTCCCCACGCCCCCTTCGGCCCACCGCTCACACGCTGTGTGGCCCCACAGGGAGCTCCACCGAAGCCCCAGCGGCAAAATCCGCACGCGTTCCCCCCGCCCGTTTCGGCACACCCCTCGCACGCTTCAAGGCCTCACAATGAGCTCCCCCCTCCCTCGTCCCATATGCCTCAGGGAAATCATACTTGCACATGGTTGGGTCACTCGGCAGGACAATGGGGAGACCAACAGGTACCAGGGCCATCCCTCGAAACCAATTTTTCCAAACGGCGGCACGAACAAAGTGCTGCACTGCATCATTTCTAGAATAAGCCCGGACACAGGCCCCAAAAGCCTGCAAGACCCCCCTAAACCTGGACACAAACCCGAATCCTGCAAGGCAGCAAACAAAACATGCACGGGTGCTACAAAAAACGGGACCTTGCAAGAAAGGATGTCGTTTCCTTGGCGTTCCGTGTCCTGGTTTATCTGTGTCCTGGTCTCCGGGGGCCTGAAGGTACCGATACCGCTACTCCCCGGACCTCGCCCGGGGTGCGTTCTGACCAAGATGTTGAGGCGCATCCAGCGGGGGCGACGAGGGCCTCCCAGGAGGCTGACACAAAAGGGACAACGGGCGACGGGGTAGAGGTATGGGTACCTTTCCTCCTCTTGGGCAGGGACCGACCGCCCCGGCATTCATATAGGCCTACCACGGAAGGTTCCTAGAACCCAAATGATCGAATAACAAAAACAATGTTCTTAGAACATATGCCCGCTGTATTAAAACAAGACGGTCCCAGCCAGAGATGCTCTCTGATCACATTCCGTGCAGACCACAAGAGGTTCTTAGAACATTGTTTGGTGGGCCCTAATAGGCAAGCCGAGACGCCTCGCCACTGCTTGAGATCTACAGACGGGGCCCTGAAGAAGGAACCCTGTTCGTTGGGGAGGGGCTCGGTGTTCCTTGATTGTTCTGCAGTTGGCCTTCGGTTTTCCTGAGGTGCCCCGTGGGAAATCGAAGTTCAACCAATGGGAGAAAGGGGCCTCGTTCCTGATTTAGGGTTCCTTCGGTCAGCGCCCCGACTGTATTCTTCGACGACCTCCTCCTCGCCGAGCGCGGCGGCCAGGGCGGCCACGTCGATGTTGTGCTCGGTGGACCGGTACGCCTGTGCCAGCGGCGGCAGGCGCCCGGCGAGGCCGCCCAGGCCGTCGTCGCAGCGCGGCGTGCCGGACCGGAGCGCGTGGAGGATGCTGATGGGCCCGTTTTCCACCACCACCACCACCATAAAAAGTTGGAGGGGGGAGAGACGGTCCTCCGCCCCCTCCTCCCAGTCCTCCCCCTCCTCCCCCTCCTCCTCCTCCTCCCCCTCCTCCTCCTCCTCCTCCTCCTCCTCCTCCTCCTCCTCCGCCCTTCTCCCTCTCCTCCTCCCCCTCCTCCTCCTCCTCCTCCTCCTCCTCCTCCTCCTCCTCTTCCACCTCCTTCCCCCCTCCAACTTGTGCTGATGGTGGTGGAACACATCGGGGAACGAAGAATGGCATAAATAAGAAAAACTCGGCGGTCCGCGCGGATTTCTCGGATCCGCGCTGGACCCCCCTCACTGGCGCGCGGGGCGCGCCAAGGGCGGCGCCGGAGGCGCCGCTGGGAGAGGGTCCAGCGCGGATCCGAGAAATCCGCGCGGACCTTCGAGTTTTATGTTTATGTCATTCTTCGTTACCCTAGTGTTCCACCAGCACCAGCACCACCATAAGTTGGAGGGTGAAAGGAGGTGGAAGAGGAGGAACAAAAAGAGGGGGAAGAGGACCCCCTCCCCCCTCCAACTTGTGGTGGTGGAAACAGGCACAGGCCCATCAGATGTCGCGCGCGACCGCGGCGTGGCAGCTCGAGTTCGCGGCGGCGGCGTACTGCACAAAAGCCAGGGCGGCCCAGGCGTTGTTGCCGGTGTCTACGGCCAGAAGGAAAAGGGGCCAGCAGGAACATAGAAACTTTCGAAGACCCGCCCGGCTTTCTCAGATCAGCACTGGGCACCCCTGGCGGCGCGCTCCGCGCGCCAGGGGGCGGGGGCCAGCACCGATGCAGGCAATCCGTGCAGAGCTCCGACAATCTATGCTTACGCTGTCTCTTCTTCTTCGCATGTTGCCGTCGCGGACCCCGTCACTGACGTAGATGCCGGCCTCTGGGGAAACCAGACGGTACCGATACCGCTACTCCCCAGACCTCTCCGTTCTGGCCAGAAGTTCGAGACGACTCCAGACTTGGTGACGAGGGTATCCCAGGATGCCTAAAGAAGGGGAAACGAAGCGAGGGTAGCGGTAGGGGCACCTTGCTGCTCCTCAGAAGGCGCAGGCCCTGCATCTCCAGACGACGCCCGCGCCTTCGAAGAAGCAGGTGTGCTTCTGAGAAGCCCTCCCCCCTCCCCCTACCTTAGTTCTGGGCAAAGGGGCTCTTTCACAGTGGGGTCGCAACACAAATGTGCAACAGTGCATTCTGTGGCTCATGGCGCGCGGCCTCTCTCACGGACCAGCGGTGCCAGATACAACGCTTTCTGCCCGCATCCAGCACGAACGATTGCACGAACTAGTGCGTACATGTTCCAGACATCTTTTGCCAAGGACCCATTCGCCCGAATCTGACTGCCCTTAGGTCGGGCAAGTCCTCCTACAGGCGGATCTTGAACGAAACCTTTAAAAAACCCAAACATAATCAAACATACTCGGAACATGGTAGAAACATCGTCCCCGTACGTTTTTCAATACAATGTTTGGACACTCCTCCTGTAGAGGGACCGGCCCGACTTAAGACTACCCCCCTCTGCGCGTGGCCGAGCCTCGGCCTTCGCGAAGTCCGCGTACGCCGAGGCCAGCAGCGTGAGGCCGCGCCCAGAGGGCACGTCGGCGTAGAGCAGCTCGGGCGGCACCCCGTCGGGGGACCGAGGGTATAGCAGCTCGGCGAAGCTGTCTCGGTGGTTCAAAGATGGGGTCCTGAAGGATGGGGTCCTTAGAAGAAGAAGAAGAAGAAGCAACGCCATAAAGATAAACTATTGGCGCTCCGCGCGGATTTCTTGGATCCGCGCTGGGCCCCCCCTGGCGGCGCCTTCGTCGCCGCCCCTGGCGTTCTCCGCGCGCCAAGGAGGGTCCTACAGTCGGCCCGTATCCTAAGGATGCACGTTTCGGATGCAAGGGCCTTGGAAGGCCGTTTTGACACGTTGCGAGCGGCGCGCGGCCGGCGAAAGTGGACAAGAATGGGCCGAAGGTTTGGACGCCCGAAGTGGGTACGGAAATAATGGGTACAATGCCCAACAGCAGTTCCTGTTCATTCTGAACAGGACTCGCTGTCGGTGTCGCCGCGGCTTGTCCATTTGAGACAGAAGGCCGCCTGCCCAACAGTGGCCGCTGTTGGTTTGGGACAACATTTGTTGTTGGGCATTGTACCCATTTTTTCCGTGCCCATCTCGGGCGTCCAAAGAAGGGGAAGGATGCACGGGCATACTTGGGAAAGCCGCTCATCCCTTACAATGCGGGTTGACTGTGAGGACGAGGTGCCTCAGACAACGTGAATCCAGCCTTGAAGCCCTTCCTATCCTGAGGGCCCCATCCCCCAGGACACCATCTTTGAACCACCGACTGTCCAGGATCTGGCGGGCCTCCTCCAGGCGGCCCCGCTCGCTGGCGGCGCGCAGAAGGGGGGCTTGGCAGGTGGGGAAGTCCAAAGGTACCGATACCGCTGCTTCCTGGACCTCTCCTGGGGCGTTTTCTGGCTAGGATTACGACGCGAATCCAGCGGTGGCGACAAGGGGCCTCCCAGGAGGCCCCAGACGGCGAATACGAGGCAGGGTCAGCGGCATCGGTGCCTTCTCCTCCGCTGAGCAGGGGTGCGTCCCAGAGGCCTGCCCGCCTTGCAAGAAGCCCCTTCCTCGGGAGCGTTCCCGAGCCTTTCTGGGACCCCCCCCTGTCCTACTTGAAGGTGGTCCCCCTGCCTTGCTGTCGACCAACCTCCGCTCAAGACGGGTGCTCAGAATCCGTCCAGCAAGTTCTCCGAACCTCGTCAAGCAGTGGCGACGGGAACTTCCAGGGATGCCCAGAGACATCAAAGACAACAGTGTCGACGACGTCGCCGTGGACACACCACCCCACCCCCCCTGTGCGCGCCGCCAAACTTGGCAAGATAGATCGCTGCCACTGCGTTGTCGTAGGTGTCGTACCTGCGCCGCAGAAGTTTCAACCATGGCCACAACTTCTGGGATTTCACGGGCGAAGAACGGTATAAAATTCGCCGGCCCAACGGGCCAGAGGCGTGCTAAGATCTCCGGTAACTGGTTAACAATTCTCTAGTTCGCGCGCGCGGGGCGGCCCCTGGGGGTCCCCGGGCGGAAAGTACCCCGGCAAGGTCCTGAGAGAGTCCCGGGAGGAGTCCCCCAGAGCGCTCCAGGAGCGCTCCATGAGCGCACCAACAGGGCTCCGAGACGTCCCCGAGAGCCCCAAGAAAGGCCAAGAGGCCCCCAAGAGGCCCCCAAGATGGTACACGAGGGGTCCGACATGCCACAAGATCGCTCCAAGACGCCCAAGATAGCCCCCAGACGCCCCAAGAGGCCTCCAAGAGCACTCCCAAGAGGGCCCCCGGAGGCAAAATTCATTGTTTTTCCTTAGGTTTTTGAGAGATTTTGGAGCTTCCACCTTTTCGGCTTCCCGACGCCCCAAGACGGCCCAAGAGGCCCCCAAGATCGCCCCAAGAGGGCCCAAGAGGCCCCCAAGAGGGCCCCAAGATGGCCCAAGAGGGCTCGAAGACGGCCCAAGAAGCCTCCAAGACGGTCCAAGAGGGCCCCAAGAACGCCCCCAAAGGGGCCCCAGAGAGGGAACACGAAACAACATTTCGAGCCCTCGGCCCTAAGAAGCCCCTACGAGGCCCCAAGAAGAGGCCCCCACGAGGCCCTCAGGAGGCCCCCAAGAGTCCCCCAAGCGGCCCCAGGAGGCCCCCCAAATGCCCCCCCGAGCGCCCCAGGAGTCCCCCAAGCGGCCCCAGGAACCCCCAAAGCGCCGCATTGACACCAGGCCATCGGGCAAACGGCAGACATGAGACTGTATGGGCCGGCGGAATGAGCGAAGCGATTAAATAAACTTTTTCGCCGTCGGGTTCACCTGCCCCAGGGCGGTTCTTCGGCCGTTAAGAGATGATCTCCCAAATGCTCACGGAACAACGGGTCAAACATTGGAAGGTGATCGAAAACTGCAGCGGAATCCTCCCCGCCGTGAAACTGGTTCGGTCAGGGCCGGGCGTGGGGGCTCGACGACGCTGGGCGGAGACGGAGACGCCCCAGCCTTCCCTGAGGCCCGATCGATAGCATGCCCCCCCCCCCGTGCTCGAAGAATGTGTCCTCGGGGTGTCCCGCGGGTGTGCGTGGGCTGTCCCGCGGCTGATCCTGTGGTTGCCCTGGTGCGGTCGGCGATGAATGATGTGAGAGCCCCAAAACCCCAAATCATTGATAAACCTGGCGCTGTGCCAATGATTTGAGCACACTCTGCGACTCCGTCTTAAGAGCGGCCAACACGGCCCAACTCAGTCGGGCTGCTAACCTAAGGAACGATACAGAAGGAACGCGGCCCCTTTTTGTTCCAAATAAGTCCATGAAGTTCGAAGGAATACCGAGGGGGCTCGCCGCCAAGAGAAGGAGCGGAACGCATGTTAACCTAAGGAACGACCGAGCCCCTTTTGAAAAGACAGTGTTCTTTATTCAGCGGCCCGACGGTAGGTCCCAAAGATCTCTCCAACAGAGCCCACGAGGCCACGGCGAGGGACTCAACAGCGCCCAACGACAGCCCAAGGCGAAGAACCCAGACTTCACGGCCGCCAGTAAGGCCCCGATGAAACTAACCGAAGGCCTCCAAGTGTAAAACGACGCGAAGATCGGGACAAAATCGGATCGGGATAACTCGGAATCCCTGAGAATCGGCAGGTTTGGAAGATGTATTGGGCGCCGCGGCCGCTCCAGAGCGTTCCGAAACGCTCTGAGAGCGCTCCGGAACGCTCTGGAGCGATTTATCCCGATCCTAGCCCTGTTTTAAAGTGGCCCCCAAGAGGCCCCCAAGAGGACTCAAACGATCCCCATGTGAGCGTCTTCGTCTTCGGCGGTTCAATTCTGGGCGGAAGAAGGGGGGGGAGGGGAAGGGTCTGGCTCCAGACCTCTGCTTAAAATGCGGCTGCTTACAGCAGCGCGCCCTGTGGGGGGGACTCCACCTGCTCGAAACAGGCGCCAAACACAACCAAGCTCTATTCCATGGGGGGGAAGGCGGGGGTGCGAGGGCCCGCGCCGATCGGCAAAACAATGAATAAGAAAACGATCACCACGAGACTCCAGGAGGCCGTGGGTCCACGAGCCGGGCACTGTGGCGGGATGGACCGGATCTCACTCTATAGAACGCAGTGTTGGCTGGATTGTTGAAGGTAACGCCTACGAGTGTGCCTGCATCGAAGAGTGGAGGCAACGTATAAACATGCTGTTTCGCTTGGTCGTTGTAGTAAGATCCGCCTCCGTGCCGCAAGCACACAGATGGGCCGTCCCCAGTCTCTCACTGCCCACTCGCTCTCCACATTTGGGCCACGGATATACTGCCCCAGAACCGCACATCGCAATATTCCCATGCGCTCTTGAGTTGTGATGGCGTGTGTGCGAGGCGGGCATGTATGTATGTATCAACCGCCTCTGGAACCGATGACCTGGGAACACAGGCGGCGGCTGATGTGGATACATGTCGAGTGGAGGCCAGTCCACAAGAAACCTTCCACAAGAAACCCAACCCTGAGACTCCAGGACGTCCAAGGATTTTTGGTGTGGGAGCGTCAGGCTTTTCATGGCAAAACCATCAAGACACAATAAACTCAGGGCACCCTTGAGGCGAGAAGGGTGTTTCTTGGCATGGGTCTCCACTGTATGGCTCCCTTTCCCGAAGCCCCGGACGCATCCGTGAGGACCCAGGCTTCCCACGTATCGAAAGATGGTCGCGTCCTTCTGCTGTCTTTTTGTCTCTGCGGCCACTTCAAAGGCGAGAAGCAGTGCGCACGCGGGCGGCGTATTTGCATGGGTTTCCATCTTCAACTCAGCAGCGCAGTGCCCAAGAACAAACATTCCCGACATTGACATGTCACTTCTGTCTGACCGATGTTAAACACCACTTCGCTGTCTCGCCACGGCTAAAATAACTGAATCCATGTTTTATGCACTCTCCGCCACTTACAAAACGAAACGATTGTACAAGTACATGCGGCATGCCAGTACAATCATCAATTCACATAGTTAACCAGCTTGGGAATTTGTATGTAAGCACCTGGCGCTAGACATGCGCATGCATGTACAATCCCACCAGCCCCCGGACGCGAGTGGTTTAGAGCATTTCCTACTCCAACCCCTCGTCTTCCACTTCGGGGAGGTGTTTACCCCTCCCCCTACCCCCCACCGCTGGACCTGGACGGGGGAAGGTCGCGAGCAATTAGAGCATCCTATACGGCCTCGACGAGAAATCACACATCACTGACTTTACATAGGTTTGGCCACATGTTGGCCTCCTGGGGGAGGGACGCCAATTTACTGCGGACCCTCCTTTCATCGATCTCCTCCAAGATGGCCCCAAGATGGCTCCTGAGGCTTACAAGGCTGCCCCAAGGCGGCCCCGAGAGGTGCCCAGGAGGCCCCAAGAGGCCCCAAAGAGGCTCCCAAGATGCCCCCAAGAGGGTACCAAGAGAACCCCATGGGGCTTCAAGAGGCCCCCCCAAAGCACCCAAAAAGCCCCAAGAGGCCCCCGGGACTGCCAAGAGACCCCCAAGACGCCCCAAGAGGACCCCAATAGGGTATCGAAGTGCATCCGAAGAGACTCAGAGAGGCATCCGAGAGACATCTGGCCTTTCTGCTTGCCTTCCTCCTCCCCATCCTCCTCATCCTCCTCCTTCCCCTCCTCTTGCTCATTCGCCGATTCCGCTTCCTTCCTCGTCCCTCCTCCCCCTCCCACTCTCCCTCCTCCTCCTCCTCCTCCTCCTCCTCCTCCTCCCTCCTCCTCCCTCCTCCTCCTCCTCCTCCTCCTCCTCCTCCTCCTCCTCCTCCTCCTCCTCCTCCTCCTCCTCCTCCTCCTCTCTCCTCCTCTCCTCCTCCTCCTCCTCCTCCTCTCCTCTCCTCCCCTCCCCCTCCCCCTCCAACTCCTCCTCCTCCTCCTCCTCCTCCTCCTGCTCCTCCTCCTGCGATCCCTCCTCCATCCTCCCCCTCTTGAAGTGCGACGAGTTACCGAACCCTTTATTCCACTGCATTCTCCTCCACATCCCTGATCAGGGCAACTCGTTTAGGCATCGTTTCTGCATGGACTGGTGTGCTTGCGTGAAGCGTCAAGAATGCCGAAAACGTAATTCGCTAGATCTGCAAAGCACACGTAGATGAGATCGCCGATCCAGAGCGAAACAGATCGCGAAACGACAAACCGCGCCCTCCAAGAAAAGAAAAACTCATCACCACCCCAATCACAGCACTGTATAGCATTGTTACATATGGTGTCAGTGGAGCACCGGCAAGTCTTGTCGGGGCAGTCCTCCAGGAGGTCGCAGAACTTCCCGCAGTCCCCGCCGCCGCCTTTCAGGGCGCCCGGCCCGTAGGTCCGCAGCAGCAGGTTCTGCTGCCGCGGCTGCTTCGCGAGGTACGCGTCGACGATCTCCAGGCACTCCTCCCGCGTGCCGCAGCCGTCCCGCTCCGCCGCGGCCGCTGCGCGCTCCTCTCGGGCCACGAGCCGGCAAGGGTCCCGAGGGGAACTGCGTCTCCCGAGGGAAGCGCGTCCCCCGGCGCGCCTGGGCCTCTCGGAGCGGGCTGCCGATGCGGGGGGGCGGCGCTTGAATGAGGAGCGACGACCGGGGGGTGGACGAAGAGAGGTGCACTCCTCGGACCCCAAAGACCCCATGGGAGGCCCTGGAGGGCTCCTTCTCTGCAGCCCCCGCTGCCCCCCAAAGTTATCGCCCCCCCCCCCCCATTACGCGAGGCCTGAACCCAGAGCTCATGCTCCGTGCCAGTCCAAGGGCCCGGGAAAGGCCCCACGAGGCCGAGCATGCTGAATTATCGTGCTCCCGCAATTTTCGCTACGCCCCCAAGCAGAGGCTCCCGGTCGTTCCCCTCCCCCTCACACACTCTGCTGCTGGCGACCCCTGTCTTCAAGAACTTACTTTGCACGGCGACGCCGTGCAGTAGTACTTCTTCTCAGAGGACCCCCCCTTGCTCCGTGTGGCCTACATCAGTCAACCCGAAAAACAAGAACACACGATGAGGATGCAAGGGCCTCGGAAGGCCATGTCGACACTTTGCGGGCGGGGCGCGGCCAGCGAAAGCGACCAAGCATGGGCCGAAGGGGAAGGATGCAAAAGTGGCCTTGGAAAATTGCTCATCGTGACTATGCGGGCTGACTGCACCATGGAAGAGAAGGCTCTTGAGAGAACTGGGACCTGAACCGTGCAGAACAAATTTCATTCCATCCCGAGTCATTTTGTGAAGGTCCTGGGGACTGGGGAGGGCCCCAGGAGCTATAAAATCAGCGAAACTCCTCGAGGGGCGCGTTCCTTCAGGGCCACCCCCCCATCAGAAGCCTCCCAGTTAGGGATCCGAGACGGGGGTCGGAGGATTGCGCCACATTGGCGATGCATCGGCGACGTCGGCGATGCGTCGGCGACGTTGGCGTGCAGGACATCGAGCTCCAAAAAGCCATGTTCTAATTGATCGCGGTGACACCCGTGACTGGCCCCCAACCCTCCGTCTCACCCTGCCTCTGGTCGCGTCACCATTCGCGCCGGCGCCGTCTGAGAATTAACCATGTTAAGCATTCCCGGACGGCGCTGGCGCGCATCGCGACGCGACTGGCGGAACCAGACTCCCTCCCCCCCTCCTCCCCCGCCACGCCCGCTGTCGCCAGGGGATGAATCAACAAGGAAATCCAAATCGTGCCGCATCGCCGATGCATCGGCGAAGCGGAGCATCAACTCGGACCCCATGTGTCGGGGATGGACAGACCTCCCTTTAGTAAAACGTGGTTCAGTGAAAACGACCTGAGGCCCAGACCTGGCGGGCGCAAGCCTGGAAGATAACGGCCACGGCGCCCTCTCGAGAACCGAAAACGGACCATTCATTAATCGACGTGTCACTGTTGGGGGTTCTGTCCACCCCCGACCTATGTCGACTCACCCTCGCGCGCCTGCGGACGAGTTCCCGCTGGTGCCGGAGCCTCTCCTTTCAGATCCTGGCGCCACGAAAAAACATACAGTCGGGGCCTTGACCTAAGGAACCCTAAACAAGGAACGAGGCCCCTTTTTTTCCATAAGTTAGACTTCGATTTCCTATCGAAGACATGGGAGGCCTGGACGAACGTCGAATCGACGTCCTGTGGTTGTCCAGTCACGTCCAGGCATCCAGCGGCCGCGCAGGCCGGCCTGGGCACCCCGCGGAGGGCCCTCGACGAGGCGCAGCTGCGGCAGGAAGCCCGAGGCTGGGCAGCCGCCAGAGGCCGACGGAAACCGTACTCCAGATTTCGTAACAAAGGGAGGGGGGTCTCATTTCGGGGGGGGTCTCTTCCAGGCTATCTTGGAGTGCCTGGGGGGTCTGGGGACGATGTTCTGGAGGGCTCTCCCACGGGGGAGGTCTGAAATGGCTTGCCTTGGAGGGTCCAGACCCCCCTCCCTTTCATTACGAAATCTGGAGTAGAACAATTACCGAAACTACTCCGACCCCAAATTCTCCTGACCCCATTTAGGGAGACACAGCGAAGCCGCCGATCCGGCGTGTGAGCTTGAAAGAGTCTCAGCCACAGCCTACAGCCTAGCGCCTGAGCTTCAGCTCAGCTGGGAGGGGGCCGGGGGGGCTCTGTCGGGAAGGGGGGAGAGGGGGGGGGGGACGAGTTGTGGTCCGCTTTCCGAGGGGGGGCTTTTCTTGACCCACGAGGGCCCCAAGACGGGCCAAGAGGGCCCCAAGATCCTCCAGGACGGCCCCAGACGCCCCCGAGACGCCCAAAGATCGCTCCAAGACGCCGAAGATGACCTCCAGACGGCCCAAGAGGCCGCCGAGACGCTCCAAGAAGCCTCCAAGAGCCCTCAGAAGAGGACCCTTAGAGGCCAACATCATACATTTTACCATGGTTTTGAATGATTCTGGCCTTCCCGCCTTTTCGGCTTCCCGACGCTCCAAGACGGCCCTAGAGAGCCCCAAGACTGCCCAAGAAACCCCCAAGACGGCCCCAAAGGCTCTCAAGACGGCTCCAAGAGGGGAGCCAGACGGGGAACCCGGATGGAAACTTCGAGCCCTCGGCCTCCAGAAGCTCCCAAGAGGCCCCAAGAGGCCCCCAAGAGGCCCCCAAGAACGGCCTCCAGGATGCCTCCAAAGTGTACCCGTGAGGCCCCCGAGAGATCTATAATAACAGTAGCATCAACAGCGCCCTGGATTCGTGGCACTGGCTGGATGTCACTACAATGCTCGTTCAGCTACTGCCAGAACCTCTCCCGGGGGGCGTTCTGACCAGAGCTCCGAGATGGATCCAGCGGTGGCGACGAGGATCTCCCGAGAGGCCCACAAGGGCGAGAACAGAGCACGGGTAGGGGTATTGGCTGCCCCTTCCTTCGGCGGTGGACAAACCTCCCTTTAGTAAACCTCCCCTTAGTGAAAACGGCCTGGGACCGAAACCGACGCACCTGGACCCGCAAAAACGACGGCCGCGACGCCCTCTCGCGAACCGAAAACGGCCAATTCCTGCATCGACGTGTCGGGGTAGGAGGCCTACCCACCTCCGACCCCTCCTCTGACCAATCCAGGGGGCCTCTCGCGTGGGGTCGGACGGGGCCGGAGGATCGCCCATGCATCGCCCGTGCAGCGCCGCAGCATTGGCGCTAGCTGCGTCGGGCGACGCCGGCCCCGCCGCAGCGCGCAGGAAGCTGGGGCTCCACACCGGGCCACGCGCGGAGGGATCCTCTTGGTAGTCCCCAAACGTGGTGGTGACAACACCTGGCGGTGCGTCTCGGGCGACTTGGTGTCACCACCAGGTTTGGGGACTCGTGCGGTTTTCCGAGGATGTCCCGAACATGGGTGGGTCCAGGAGTCACAAAACCAGGTGGTGGCCCGTGTCCCCAAACCCAGCGGTGACCTTTTGGGGGGATTCCAGGTCGCCACACCTGGTAGCTCACCATCCGGTTTGGGGGTTCCCAATCCTCCGACCCCCCCCCCAACGCGGACCCCCCCCGGGAGGCCCGGAGGGCCCCGGTGCCCGCGGCTCCTGGCGGCCAACGCCCGCGCCGCGATCGCGGGAGCAGAGAGAGCGGCACGAGAGCATAAACGTTTGGCGCTCCGCGCGGACTTCTGCTCTTGGATCCGCGCCGGACCCCCCGCCCGAGCGCGCCAGCGGCGGCTCTGGAGGCGCCGCCAAGGGTAGGAAGGCACCAACTATACACCAACACCGATCCTGGCCAGGATCACCCTGGGCCCAGGATCAGTGTATGCGCCCTCCTGCCTTGCGCAAGAAGGCATATACACCGATCCTGGGCCCAGGGTGATCCTGGGCCAGGATCGGTGTTGGTGTATAGTTGGTGCCCTCCGCAAGGGCAGGAGAGCCCAGACTCGAATCGATGAGCCGGATCGGCGATCGACAGGAATCGGATCGGGGGGAATCGGAGGCGTCCAGAGTGAGACCTCGGGACCCCGCTCGGAGGCCCAAGGCGGAGTGGGACCGGCAGCGGAGTCCAGCGGAACCGAATCGGCTCGAATCGGGGGAGTCGAAGTGAGCCCTGCCATGGGGGACCCCTGCGCCGATCCAGGAGGACCGCGCCCAGAGCTGGCCATCGCTCGGACGTCCATTCCCTGTGTTTTTTTTGCGGTTTCGTGCGTGTTTTTTTCGCCAAGTGATCAAGATTGCTCCTCGATGGTCCTCGCCGAGGAAAAAACGCAGACGTCCGAGCGATGCCAAGAGAGATCCGACGTCGTGATTTTCTCAATACGGGGAAGTCTCGACCCACTCCCCAGGACCGGTTTTTCATCCTGAGTCGTTGTTTGACAGTCCCGAGGCCCGGCGAGGGCCCCTGGAGACCACAAAATACGAAACACCTCCGCCTTGATTTTGTCAATACGTTGGATCTCTGGCCGCGGAGCGTCGAACGTTCATGCTGACGCGGCGCGTTCTCTTCTCTGGGATCGTCGGCCTTCCGCCCCTGCAGCGGCCGCGCGGCAAAGGCCCTGCTCGGGCGGGTGCTATGGGAGGGGTGGCCCACGCGGTTGCAGTCTGCCTTGATTGGACAGGACACGCAAGAGGACACAAGACCCTTCCGAGGGTCACATCGCCGTAGGAGTGTAAGAAGGCACGTGTCGCGAGGCACAGGACACAAGGGTATCCTTGAGCTGGCAAGGTCGACCTACTAATCCGGGCCGCCTGTAGGTCGGGCGTGTCCCCCTTCGGGCGGATTGTGGACGAAATATACAAGATACCCCAACGAAACCTCCAAAATGCAGCAAAAATATACTGGGTCCCCAGACTCTCTTTTGACTATGTTTGAACATTCCTCCTGTAGAGGGACACGCCCCGACTCAACACTAAAGAGAAGGGCCCTTGAGGGCCCCTTTTGAAGCTCAAAACTGAGCCCTCAAGGGCCTCTTCAGGGCCTTTTTCTTCACCCCCCCATTTGGGTCACCCCCCCTGTCCCACACATCCGGCCGCGTGCCCCGAAGGCCTGGACCGCTTCCCTAGGGCCGTTTTTCCGTCCCGAGTTGGCTTTTGACGGTCCCGAGGCCCGTCGAGGGCTCCCGAAGGCCGAAAAAAGCTTCAATCCCGCCGCTTCAATTTTTCGGGGCGTCGAATTGAGCAGGGGCCGACCGTCCCGGCACTCCTGTAGGCCTACCACGAAATTTTCTTAGAACCCGAAAATGTTCTAAGGAAAAAAACCATGTTCTTAGAACATAAGCCCGATGCGCCAAACCAAGACAGCCCCAGCCAGCAAGGTTCCGAGAACATTTCGCGGAGACCACAAACACTTCTTAGAACATTCTTCGGTGGGCCTACTGGCAAGCCAGGACGCTTCGCCACTGCTTGATCGAATCTCTGGGTTAGCCCCTTTGGACGCCCGAAATGGGCACGGAAAAGATGGGCACAATGCGCAACACGAAATGTTGCCCCAAACCAACAGCGGCCGCTGCTCGGCAGGCGGCCTTCTGCCTCGAATGGAGACAGGCGGACAGCGAGCCCTGTTCGAAATGAGCAGGAACTGCTGTTGGGCATCGTACCCCAGATATCGTAATAAAAGGGAGGGGGTCCGGACCCTCCAAGACAAGCCATTTCAGACCCCCCCCCCGGTGGGAGAACCCTCCAGAACATCGTCCCCAGACCCCCCCAGGCCCTCCAGGATAGCCTGGAAGAGACCCCCCCCGAAATGAGACCCCCCTCCCTTTATTACGAAATCTGGAGTACCCATTCTTTCTGCACCCATGCCGGGCGTCCCGAAAGGGGCCTGCTCGTCAAGCGGCCTGACCAGTACAGGCTGCAATTTGGCATCGTTTGGTATCTCTTGGAAGCGAGGGCGGTCAAAAGCGAGGTAGGTTTGTTCCCCCCCTAGTACTACAAGATGCGTATACTGGACGTTTGGGTCGGACGTCCGCCTCCAGGCAGCAGGAACTGCTGTTGGGCATCGTGCCCCTTCTTTCCCTACCCATTTCGCTCTTGCCGAGCCCCCGCCCGACCTGCCCTGCAGCGCAGTGTACACGGCCGGCCTCGCCTCCGGCCGCGGCGCCGCGGCCGCGGCCCGCGCCGCGCCGGGCCCCTGGCGGGGAGGCCCAGGGCTCGTCCCTGGAGGGCTTTTCTCCCTGGGGGGCCCCTCCTGCGGGGGCCTCGGCGAGGGCGGCGGGTGCGGACGTGCAGGTCGGCGGCGAGCGGGGGGGGGAAGGGAGAGGGGGAGGGCCTTCTCCCTGGGGGGCCCCTCCTGCGGGGGCCTCGGCGAGGGCGGCGGATGCAAGCGGCGAGCGGGGGGGGGGGAAGGGAGAGGGGGAAGGCCTTCTCCCTCTCGCTGCCTGGTCAATCCAGGAACACGTCAACATCGCAGAGCGGGCGGGGAGCTGTGAAGGGGCATGCCGTCCCGTCACAACCTTGCCCTGATTCCTGGCCGCCGCGATCGCCGCGGCGACCTTCAACACCGACCTGGAGGCTTGGTTCGGGGTCGGACATCACGGAACGATATGAGGCATTGGTGACCTCCTGGATCCTGGAAATCCTGGAACGTACCACTATCATGACCTGCTGCTCCTCTGATGCACGTCGGCTGCACGCAATGAGTGAACCTATGCACGACTGACCTGTGGTGCGCCGCTGTACAGTCAAAAATCCTAATAAGGACGCGCGGTAAGGACGCAAGAACCTTGGAAGCCGAAGTTGGGGCTTTTGGGGCGGCGGGCGACGAAAACCTCGAGGACGCAAGAGCAAGGAAGAGCAAGGACGCCATGGTACCCTGAGCAAAGTCGCGCGTCCTCATGAGGGTTTTTGACTGTATCATGACCTGCTGCTCCCCTGATACACGTCGGCTGCACGCAATGAGTGAACCTAGGCACGACCGACCTGTGGTGTGCCGCTGTGTGGGGGCCGCGGGGAGGCCACGTCCGAGTCATCCGGACGCGCCAGCCAGTGCTTTTGGGGACCTCTGTGCGCCCGGTCCACGTGCCACTCCAGCGGAAGCTCACCCTTAGGCACGCAGTCAACCCGCATCATGAGCATGCGCGGTAGGGATGCAAGGGCCTTGGAAGACCACGTCGACACCTTGCGAGCGGGGGAGGCCAGCGAAAGCGGCCAAGGGTGGGCCGAACGGGAAGGATGCACGGGTAAGCTTGGAAAGCCGCTCATCCTTACTATGCGGGTTGACTGTAGCCGAACATGGGACAACAACAAGTGTGGCCCAAAACCATAATCGGCTGCTGTTGGGCAGGCTGCTTTCTGGCTCAAGTGGGCCACGTCCGCAGCGACGCCGATGGCGAATGATGTTCAAAATGGACAGGGACTGCCGTCTGTCTTTGTACCAATTCTTTCCGTACCTATATCGACCATACCGAGGGTCGGCAGGAGAGCCTGGAATCGAACCGGTAAGTCGGATCAGCAATCGAAATGAATCGACTTGGCGGGAATCGGCAGCCATGTCTGTGGGAGTCGCGCCAGCGGCTAGCCCGCATCGAGAAAAGAGGAATCCAGAGTCTGAATCCGCAGTCGCACCCAATTCGAAGCGGACGCCATCGAAATCGAATCGAACCGGAGGGATCGAGACGAGCCCTGGGCCGGATACCACGCAATCCCAAACATGCGACTTCCTGATTTTCGAAATACGGGGTCTCTGGAAGCCCCGAGCCTTTCCCCTGGACCGGTTGAGTCGTTCTTTGAAGGCCCCGAGGCCCGGCGAGGGCCTCCCGAGGCCGAAAATGGCCAACAACTCCCCGCCCCGATTTCGCACGACGCGATCACGTCTGGGAAAATCTGACGGGGATCCTTCCCGCGTCGCGCCTCCGACGCCGAGGCCGCGGGCGCCGGCCACGCCGCCAGGAGCCAGCCGGCGCGGGCCCAGCGCCGGCGGCGCGGGCCCATCGGGCCCGAACGGCCCGCCCGCCCGGCGCACGGGGCAAGCAGGGCCTCGGAGGCGCGGGCGCTCCGCGACGCCTCGCAGTGGCCCCACGCCTGCGTGATAGGTCGGGGGCGCGCGAACATAGACTACAGGGCAGTGTTAATACATAGGAGTTTCCAAAATATAGGACTCTTAATGCAGGAGTAATGTATGACAAGCTTATGCATGCACTCATCGCTGTTTTTTAATACTAAATCCCTGCATTTTCAATACATGATCCGCACGCGGAGCATGTATAAAAAACGGCACTGTAGCGACCCATGGGTTTGGCCCGCGTTCGCCACATCCACGGATCGGCCGGTGCCACCTCGCTCGGCGGCGTGGAGCCGCGATTTCCCATGAAAAGGGGACCCGTGGCTAATCCACGCCCCCTCGACCCATGTTTGCGATCGCCTGAAGAGTGGGCTCCGAACCAAAAAACACACATAGCTGCCCATGCTGGGCATACGTTGACAGCTCTGTGTCGCCACATGGTTCTTCGTGAGCCACGTCCGCATCGCAGGGCGGGGGGCGGAGGTTTGCATCGATGTGTGGCCACCACGATCGCCGAGTTGACCATCAAAACCAACCCGGAAGGCTTGGTTCGGGGTCGGGTACAGTGGAGGCCAGTACACAAGAAACCTTCCACAAGAAACCCAACCCTGAGACCCCAGGACGTCCACTGACGTTCTCCACAGCAAAACCATCGAAACCCAAGAAACCCAGGGCGCCCTGGAGGCAAGCAGGGTGCTTCTTGGCACGGGTCTCCAGTGTATCACGCAACGACCTCAGGCGCTATTTCCTCGCACGGCCTCGGGACCCCCGGGGGTTGTTTCCCAGACACGCTCGCGCCGTGGAGGCATGACGGCGGGCGGTGCCTGGCCGCCTTCGGCCTCTGGGGGCCCTCGCGGAGCCTCGGGGCTGTCAGAACAAATACCCAGAACGAAGAACCGGTCTCCAAGGAGTGGTCCAGAGCTCCTGGGACACCGTCTCGCCATCGCTCGGACGTCCATTTCCTGTGTTTTTTTTTGGGGGGGGGTTGTGCGTGTTTTTTTTTCGCCAAATGATCCAGGATGCTCCTCGAGGGTCCTCGCCGAAGAGAACATGCACACGTCCGAGCGATGCCAGGCCGTATCGGAAAAGTCTCCTGGGGACCGCAGGCTCGCTCGATTACGTTGAAAACGCGCCCCCCCCTGGCGCGATGCTCGGTCGGGTTCGATGGGTGCAGGCAGCCCGACCAGGCCGTGCGGGGCAGCAGGCTCGCGCATCGAGGGTGCGGGAGGGCGGGTAACACGCCGAGATGAAGTGACAAGCAGTACCCGACGCGTTCCCCCCCCCTTCTGCTCCACAGCCCGTCATGCGCGCTGCGGGCACCTCACTCTCCCTTCCTCGTCTTTCCCTGTGCTCCAGCACGTGGAGCGCCGAGGGGAAAAAGAAGATCCGAGGTCTCCGAGATCCGAGGGGCCCTCGGTGGCCCTCGGAAGGCCCTCGAACGCCCTCGGAGGCACTCGGAGGGATGGCCCTCGGAGGCCCTCGGGGGGGGGGGCCCTCGGTGGCCCTCCGGGGGCGGCCCTCCTGAGGGCCCTCGGACGCCCCCGGAGGGCTCTTCGAAAGCGGAGCGCGCGTCCTGTATCCAGCGGTCTGCCATCGACTCCGGCGCTCGGGGGCCGTTCTCGAGCCCTCTGTAGCTTCGGAAGCTGCCCCCAGGACCGAGGAGGTCGAGACCTCTGGGGCCGCGGGCTGCACGGGTCATAGATCGGGGGGGCCCCCCGTGCGGTGACCTCGGAATCTCCAAGGACCTCCACGCACCGTTTCGGGACCCCGGGAGGCGCCCGTGGCCAGAGGCGTCCTCGGAGACGAGCCCCCGTCCCAGGACCGTGCGGCCGCCTCGAAGCCCCACGGACTCTCACCACGCGGCGGGCACCGCGCCGTTTGTCAGGAGGTCCAGGAGCCGAACGAGTTGTTAAGCTAAGCGTGAATTATTGGATGGAGGTTTTTGCGGTGGTAGGCGGGATAAGCATGAGTAGCAATAGGAGATCGCAACCCGCACGCCGAGATTGTGCAGCAGCCGTTTTGGAGCAGGTGGCGCTCATCGCGCCATAGACCCCTTCTTTGCGAGGGCTAGCTGGCAGTTCTAACGGGGCCTGCCAACAGCCAGAGACACACAGAAATTGGTAGCGTCCAAAACCCGGATAGCAAAGAGGCACTCACACAAACGAGCACACGCACATAAGCACGCACACACGAACACACACACACACATACAAACACATATACATACACAAGAACGCACACATACGCCAGCATGTTCCACACACACACACACGCACACACACACACGCACACACTCACACACACACGCACACGCAACACATCCACGCGCAAAGGGCGACACACACGCGCAAACGCGCACACACGAACACACAGCACATCTCACATACACACAGGGACGCGCACACGCACACGGATCACACAAGCACATAGACACACGGGGGCACACACAAACACCCACACGCACACACGCACACACACACACACACACACACTCGCGCACGCACAACCCACGCACACAGACGCACACGCAAGCATCCATGGAAACCTACGCACTGACGACCACACGATGACGCACGCACCGCAGCCAACTCGGCCCCCCCCCCCCGCGCTCCCCTGCCGCCCCCACGCACCCCCGCCCTCCCCGCCGGCGCTCCGGAGGGGGGAGGCACCGCCCCATTTTGGGGCCGGCCCTCCCTCCGCTCCAACCACTCCGCCCTCGCGGAGCGCCAGAGGGGGGGGAGGGGGGAGGGGTGGGGGGCGCGCGGACGGCGGCAGCACCGCGCGCACGCACGCGCACACGCACATGCGCAGACGAACAACGAACAGGATGGCAAAGAGGATATCACACAAGCAAGCACACGCACACACACACAGACTAGCACACAAGAGCACACACGTACGCCAGCATGCTCCACACACATGCGCACATACACACATGCACACACACGCACACACACACACACAGGTCCACACACACACGCGCAAACGCGCACACGCAAACACACATATATACACAAGAACCCACACAGACACACAGACACATGCAGCCACACATGCAGCCTGACAGACACACAGACACATGCAGCCACAAATCTGACACACAGCTTGAGGAGCTTGAGGACATGCAGCCA